AAACGATCAAATAAGTCTATGTTGGTCAGGATGTGGCGTTTACAATCTTCAGCTTTGCATGGTCCCACAAAATCGTAGGTTGTTTCGCGAACAATCCGCATTTCCCTCACTTTATTTTTTACTTAGAGCCTTGTTTTCTGTAACGGTCCTGTAATCTGTAACGGCCTTGGGCGGTCTGTGAAACCATCCTACCGAAGCCGCTGTCTGCGTCAAACCATGGTCAAAAATCCCCGGGGGTCCCCCGGGCAGAAATCAGGGACTTCGCAGTCCGTGCATTCGGACCGCTTGATAATGCTCTTTATCGCTGATCTTTAGTTCGCGTGACGGGCTCATATTTTAGGACAAATCGAGTGGTAGAATACGTAGTTGTTTTGTACCAAATAAAAGCTGATTGAAAGTATTGCCAAAACAAGCAATAACGAAAGATTTTTGATTAAACAAGCTTTCGAACCATGGGTGTTGGAGCAAAATTAATCAAAGAAAGGCCGAAATATCGCTGTTTAAAGACTGTGGATTTTGGGGATTTTAGCGCGAGTGCTGGATTGTGTTTGGGTCGTGTTTTCATCACAAAAAAGGATGATGTTAATGGTTTTAAATTTAGCTGAAAATTGCTGTATTTTATCGGCCACTTTGTCGACTTTCAGGGATGAGGGCGGCAAACTCAAATCGGACCTAAACGCGGCGGCCAGCGGAGGTAAGAGCCGCGCACCCGGCAGACGATCCGGTTCACTTATGGTACTCCTGTACCCATATCTCACTTTGTGGGAGATCTAGGTACTAGATGACGCCTTGGCAACTTCCCAGTTATCAGCTAAAATTTCAGCCCTCAGTTATAGTTTAATTTCTGGATCTATCAGTGTTTCAAAACAAAAACATTAGATGAGAGTTAAATTTTCGACAATTATCACACTGCGTTTTTCGACGTAATTCCACAAACGTCTAGTTAAATCAACCCTTGAGCATTGGGTTAAATTCTTTTCGCCTAACAGCTACGCTCCTTAAGTCGATTATTCTTATAGTGACTATATACATGTTGTCTATAAAATTTGCTTACTTGCTTTGCAGTGGAGCATTCAGTTTCATTATTTTTTACCTAGATCTTAACTTTGATCACCATTTGATGAAAGGACCTGATTTCATTTCAGCAACCATTCATAGGAGAGATCGACGCAAACGCTTAAGATGACAGCATTGACTAAACAAATTTTTGTCAAGATAACGATTCCATTTCAGGCTCTCAGTAAGACGGCAACAAGCAGAAAAGCGGGTGTGAGAAAATATAACCATGGCGAGAACTGGGGAGAGACGCTCGCTTTCGTTTTCGCTAATGTCCCAATTAAAACTAGACTCTCTCGAAAACGCCAGCGTGGGAAGATGAAGTAGCCGGCTATGTAGCCTGAAACAGGTTGTGAGATAACCATTCGATGAAACTATAACCGCACATCCGTACATATCAGTGTAAATATTTCATAGTCTTACTCTCACTCGGCTTTCGTGTAGTCACAAACCCATCCTCTAAACTGGAAGCTGCGTCCTGCACGGGCTTCCAAGAGGCTGAGCCGGACAAGCGAGGAACGCGTGTAGGGATATGGAAATGAGCGCAGAGCGCGAACGGGAAGGGGCTGGGAAGGAAAAATACGTCTCTCCCTCCGCAGCCACTTTCCTAAATAATTCACAAAAATGTTCCCATAATCGCGAGGGACTAGAGACGAGACAGAAAAGGAGGAACAAAGAAAAAGGATTAGGTCCCTGTCTCGCTTGGCTGAGTTAAATGGCACCTTCTTTCAATGAAAGAATCGATAATGACGTAAAAGAAAACATAACTGCTTCGTGCGTGGTATTCATTTGGTATCAAAGTCCGTTACACGGACAATTATATTGGATACTGCGGAATAAACTACAGTGTCAAACTATGCACACGGCATATGACTCAGTGAAAACTACAAGGCTGTAGCAGGAAACGAAATATGAATGAATTCTTTCATAAGTAACCTCCTCTTAAGAAAACTAGTACGCAGTTTCCGGGCGAGCTGTTCTTACTCACACAAACAAAAGCTCTCATAGGGTAAAACATATTTGCGTGCTGTCCTCGTGGTTCATGAATAATTATTATATAATATTTATTATATGGACCATGCAGCGAACCAAAACAAAATCACGCATAAATTAAAAGTTGAGTAAATTACACGAACAAAAATATAGTTCAAACTTAACTTGTGCCGTGCGAGTTAGATGCGATTACGACGTGATTTGTGAGAAAATTG